CACTAGCTTACGTCAATTTAGATCTGCCCCTTCTCCTAATACTTTTATCTACCGTCAATGTATCACATCTCTTCACTACTGCATCTGCTAGCCTCCGTTGTATATGACCAAACCATCTCAGTCTATTCTCTCTCAGCTTATCTTCTATCGGTGCTACTCTTATTCATTCACAAATAAACTCATTTCTAACTTTGTCTTTTCTAGTCTTGCCACGCATTCACCTTAACATCCTCATCTTAGCTACAGTCATCTTATCTACATATTGTTTCTTAGTTTCTCAACATTCTATCCCATACAACATTGCTAGTCTAATAGTTATTCTATAGAATTTTCTTTTTACTCTAGTGGATATTAGTTTATCGCACAGTTCCCCAGATGCACTTCTCTACTTAAGCCACCCCGCGTTAATTCTATGGATCACATCTGCTCCAATCTCTTCAGCCGTTGTGATAATCGATCTTAAATAATGAAAATGTTCACTCTTAGGTAGTTTTTGGTTTTCAATCTTCAATTCTCCTCTGTTTCCATTGTTACTGTTATTAAAATTTATACTTCATGTACTCTATCTTAGTTTTGCTTATCTTAAATCCTTTAGATTCAAGTGCTTCTCTCTAAGTCTCTAACTTAGTGTTAACTCATTTTCTAGTCTCATCCACTACCACAATATCATCTGTAAAAAGCATACATCATGGTCATCGTCCTGAATATTTCTTGGCGACTCATCCATAACTAAAGCAAAAAGATAAAAATTTAGGATTGATCCTTAATGTAATCCCACAGTAATTGGAAATTCATTTGTCTTTCCAACCGATGTTCTAATAGTAGTCACCACACTTTTATACATATCTCTAATCACATCAATGTAGCCTTTTGTCACATTTTCTTCTCTAACACCCATTAAATTATAACCTGAGGCACTCTATCATATATTTTCTCAAGATCAATAAAAAACTATATGAATGTCTCTTTTCTTATCTCTATACTTTTCTGTTACTCTCTTCAAAATATAAATCGCTTTTATTGTTGTCCTACCAGGCATAAATATAAATTAATTTTCTGACACATCTGTTATATCTCACAATCGAAGTTTCATCAGTTTCTCCCACACTTTCATTATCAATGTAATTTACCCAATTTATTTTATTATATTTTGTCAAAAATGTTAAATTTTGTACTTTGAGTCCTATGTTTACATTAGTTTGAACAAAATTTCATTTTGATTCCCGTGATTTCAATTAATTAATTTATGTCCCACACTTCCAATTACAATCCAATGAGGTCCCTCCGTCAATATTGCCATTAGTATTTTGGACGAAGAAGGATACATGCAACTCAAGTGAAAAAATAAAACTTCCCACTCAAAAAAGAAAATTGAATAAACTACTGGTGGTTGTTGTTGTATTTTATAAACGATGAATCATCATTTTGTCTCCCAAATTATTAATTCCAAATCAATTCAAACCCTTTTTTTTATAATATCAATTCTACTCCTAAAATATTTGATTTTACATCAATTTTATCCTCGTCGTTCGCTGCCAAAGTTGCTGATGTGGAATTGAAAATTCGTTCAAAATTTCATTTTATCCCAAATTATCTCTAAAATATCAATTAGAACCCCAAACTTCATTTTATTCATGGGTTTTATTGATATTTTGAGTATAATTTGGGAAATAAAATGAAATTTTAAATAAATTTTGAGTGCCTCATGAACTATTTATGTTTGATTATAGACGGCAATTGATGGTGGGATAAAATTCATTCAAAATCAAATAGTTTGAGTATAAAGTTGATATTATTAAAATAACAGAGGTTTGATTGATTTTTGAGTGAAAATTTGAAGAGTAAAATGATATTTTCTCTTCATAAATTACATTTTGGTCCCTCTAATATCGCAAGTGGTTTTTTTTTTTTTTTTTTTTCCAACATGTTTAGCGACAACAGAGGGACAGACAACTTTGAAACGAATTGGCAATTGTAAGGTTTATGTTGATAAAATTGAAGTTACAAGGACCAATTAAATTTTTTTCTTAAACTACTAGTACTAATGATTTTTTTTGGCAACATTAAAAAAAAGTCAATTTATTGACTTTTTCGGATCATTTTGCTTTTTTATTTTTTTACACGTCTTTTTGTAATAAATAAAAAAATTAATTTATAAATTATATACAAAACAATACTTAGATTACCATCTTTTTTAAATACAAAACAATCTTTAGATTACCATCTTTTTTAAACCTAACTTTGAAACGAATTGGCAATTGTAAAGTTTATGTTGATAAAATTGAAGGTACGAGGACCAATTAAATTTTTTTTCTTAAACTACTAGTGCTAATGTCTGTGTTTGGTTTAAGTTTTTTATTTTTCGTATTTTTTTGTTTTTAGTGAATATTTTAAAAATTTTGAGTTTTTTTTTTAAACTTTTTTATATGCACTTTATTTAGATGTATCTAAAAAATAAAAAAATTGTGAAAACATATTTTAAAAAATTAATAAATATATAAAAATACGAAAAATATACTAAATTCTCGTTTTTTTTTTTTTTTGGTATTTAGTAAATTTTTAAAAGATTTTTTTCACAAAAATTATACTTTTTATGTGTATTTATGTTAGGTGCTTCTAAAAATTAAAAAAAAAAAAAAATTGCTTAAAATATTTAAAAAATTCAGTAAAAAAAACACACATAAAACAATAAAGTAAAATTTTCTTAAAAGTATTTTTGAAAAAACCAAAAACAAGCAAAGTGAATGATTTTCTTTTGGCAACATCCAAAAAAGGATCATTTTACCTTTCTATTTTTTACACATCTTTTTATAGTAAGTAAAAATCAACTTATAAATCATATATAAAACAATCCTTAGAATACCATCTTTTTTAAACCTAGAATGAGTGAATTTATATAATTTGAAAATAGTTAATAATTAATACTATTATATAAATGGTTGTTATTTATTTTATTTTATTTTTATTTTCTGTGTGTTTTTAAAGCAAAGGAGGGGTGATTGCCTCCTCTTGTCCCTTTCTAAGTCAACTCTTGATCAAAATCCACTGTCCCCAACATCTGTTTTGTAGAACGGTTAGCCATACTTGTCTACATGAATTGGACTGATAGAAGAACATCACAAGTTGTGTTTAAAATTAGGAAATAATAAGAGTTAATAACTTTTTTCAGTAAAATATTTTGTTCATTAACTCTTACTAGTAAGAAATCTCAACTATTTAGTTCAATTAAATTTTCAACTGAAGACAAACCGAACTGTTTGAATAATTGATTACTCAATGAGTGACATTAATGTTACTTCATCCACCCGTGTTTGATCGGTAGATAATGTAAAATTAGAGATATATGAAAATCTACATAGATTAGATTATAAATAATGTTAGAGATTTATATTTGAGAATCTCACATACACCTCTAATGATGTGGTAAGAAAGTAGAGTTCCACGTGATAAAATATGTTACAAATCAAAAGTTAAAATTTATCATTCCACATCATAATAGGTGAAATAATAAGAATTTTATTAAGATGTCAAATATTTTCCTTACATTATAGATATCCAAACACAGATGGACATCTATAGATAAAGATAATAATAAATAATAATAAATAAATAAAAGATTAATTTACATATATAGAGATGGGCATCTACCAGACTACTATGGCTGTCAGCTTGTCACAATGAATGTTATCATGCATGATACATGACAAGACATTTAAGTTGTATTTATTTTATGAATTTGAAAAGAAATATTAAAAAGAAAAGAGAAAAAGTGTATAAAATATAGTTATATTTTATCTATACTTCACTTATATTTTTTTTTATTTTATTTTTCAAATCTCTCTCTAAATTTATAAATTAAACACATCGTTAGTGCTAAATTGATATGAAGGAAATTTCTTGAGGAGTAGGTTATCTTGAGTCCACACCGTATTGATTGTTCACTACGGATTTTATTTTGATGACTTGTGATGACAAGTTATTTAACATTAAAATGGATTATCAATTTTAAAATTATACTTATTATCGATGTTTTTTCAAAACAATTTTGATAAAATTATATGGCTTCGATTATTAGATTAATTTTATTTATTTATTTATTTATTTTGGTGTGTGTAGATAATCTATAAAAAGAAGGTTACAAAATAAACGAAATGGATCACTTAAATGGAATCTATACTTAGTCCCACTGGCCTAAATAGTATAGTCCAGTCCAAAACCTATTGTCATTTCTTATAATAGTTCCAAGAAAGAGGTTGTTAGACGATTCGGACGTGTTTTGAATTTTGAAACACAAACATAATTTTCAACCAAATGCTAAAATGGAATCTATAGTTAGTCTGATTGGCCTAAATAGTATAGTTCAGCCCAAAACCTATTGTCATTTCTTATAATGGTTCCAAAAAAAAAGTTGTTAGACGATTTTTCTTATGGCTTCGTTTGGGAAGTGGGTTGGCTTTTTGACTTTTTGACTATTTTAACCTGGGACTAAAAGGCCTGGTTTGAGAAGGACTTTTGACTTTTTTGACTTTTTTTAATTTTTTGTGAGAGAAAGAATGAAATGATTATAGATTAGATGTGATGTTTTGTCTTATTGAACTAAAAAGCCTATTTTATTTTTTTGTGACTATTTTAGCCAAAAAAAAAAAAGCCTCCAAACTAACTTTCCAAACGGAGCTATAATGGTTCCAAAAAAAAAGTTGTTAGACGATTCAAACGTTAGGTAGGTTTATACCCATCAAAAGTGTTTCAATCCTCATAATGATGTCATAGTCGTAGACTGTTAATTTTGTAATATAACTGTGAAATAAAAAAATAAAAATCAGAAGTCTCCATTCTACTTATGAAGTGGAAATTGTTTTCCAATGTACCTAAAAAAAATTATCAAAATTCTTGTACATTGAGTAATTATTCAGTATTCCAAAAATACCATGTTTCCAAAGTATCTGTCCAATAAATGTGTACCCTAGCTTGGCCTCCAGGTCATCTAAGCCTATAAATAGTGCATCAAATGTTATGTTATACACCTCGCATTACAAAATAATATACTACAACAAAGGATCTTGAGAGCACTAAGAAGGAAACCAAGCCATACTCTCTCCATCATTTCACCATCCAACCACCCTTTGACAACCTTATTCAACTGCACTCCATAAAATTTCCAAACTTCTTGAAGTTTTGTGATCAAACGAGATACTTGGATGCTAAACTGAAAGAAACAAGACTACTTCATACTGAGGATTCAAACACTTTTGAGGTAGGTTTATGTTCTTGTTTACTTCATTCCTTGTTTTAAGGATTTCTTGCAACAATATTCCTTGATTCATAACATGCCTTCTTGAGTTCATTAGTTGGATTTTTATATTTCATTTTTGCCAACTTGATATTATCAGTTATCATTAACTTCTTGATATAAATCTAGTCTTATGTTGTTGGAAGTACTCAAAAGATTTGAATTCTCTCCATTACTTGAATGGAATGGAAATATTCCTTTCAAGATTAGTAGTTGTGAAATAACTATAACATATTTTTAAGAGAAACACTACGGTATGTACATTTAACAACATGTTTTTAAGAAAATAACACAATTTCATACTTTCTGAATAACTATACAATAACCAAACATAACATGAGACATGACTAAAGAATTCACAAATTATAACTAAAATAATGTCATAAGTAAAGAAGAAAATAACATAACTAGGGTTGCATACGGTGCACTCATTTGAAGGGTGCATATGATAGAATTTCTCTATTTTTAATTCAAATTCTAAATCACTTAAGAAAAAAGGAAAATGGTATTTCAATGTTAACCTCAGCAAAATAATCTCAATTTGATGAAAAAAATCATAAATTTGGAGGACTTCTACTCCAAAATCTGGACAATAAGGGGTTGTCAAGGCCCGTGGTATTCATCACAAGCCTCATTTCGATGAATTGTTCATTTTGTTAGACATTTAGTGTATTTCATCCATAAAAAAGTTTAGGTCGATCCAATACCGTGACTTGTTCTATTTGCCGTGTTTTTTTTATTAAAAAAAATATACGACAATTGTATTTTTAAAAAATGAACCATCCATTTTTTTTTTATGACAAAAACAATAAATTGAATAAGTTGTAATTACAGGATCAACCTAATTTTTTTATGAATAAAATACACGAAACGCCCGACAAGATAAATGATTTAGATTATCAAAACGGGACCCATAGTGGGCCCCATGAGCCCAAAACGTCCCCTCCAGTCTAGATTTTGGACCGGAAAAAATCATCCTACAATTTATCTTTTAATATTGTAAAGTTTTCCACTAATATGCAAATTCTTTTTTCAAATTTCATTGAAATGATATTTTCCTTAGAAAAAGATAAGATTTAAATTTACTTATTAATTATAGAAGGCTAAAATGAACTGAAAGTACTTCACATCTGGATGTCAAGCTCCATTAAGGGAACATGAAACCAAATAAAAAGGAGACAAAATCATTTCCAAGCGCAACTTTTTTCACATCATAGAAGGTTTAAAAAAAAATTTAAAAAGCTACTGAAAAACCTCTTTCCAAACGAGACCGTATTGAGATTCAGTTCCTACAATGGACACCCCCGAGGGACAAACGGTTATCCTTAATAAGTCAATAAATCCAGTCTTCTGTTAAGCCACATCCATGACACTAATTTAGAACTATTATTACATACATCACAAAACAATTCATAATTATATTACCTGTATTACTTATAAAAGTAAACCATATTCTTAAATCCAATCTCATAGAAACTGTGTGAGTGATTTTCCGACCACACTGCCAACTTAGTACCCAGCTGGAGAGTACCGACAGAATATATTAAACCTGAACGACCTGCAACAGAAAGAGAAGATTCCGGCGGTGGCTCGTCCACCCGGGGGTACTCCGACGATCAAGTCAGTACTCCATATCTCTCAAAGATAACCAATAGTGCTTAACTCACTAAACAGAGTACCAAAAGCATACATTAGACCCATAGGGTGCCTTCCTTTTATAGCTAACATAATTCTAGTCCCAATAGGAGCCTAGCTCTAATGGACTTAGGATTATTGTTAATCTTGGACTCCCAGTAAGATTAGGATAAACTCTCTAAGAGTTTCATCTTTACCCAAACTGAAGTCTTCTCTCATTCTAGGACTCTTGTCCCTTATCCGCTTATCTCTGATTCCGACATCTTCGCAGATAACCTCGGCTTAGCCGAGATCATCTCGGCATCATGACCATAACACGTGGCACCTCGGTTGGCACTCTGGTGACACCTCGGCCACGTGTTGTCATTCAAAAATTATGTCCCCATAACTGCCCCCTAGGTTCCATTACCTCGGCATCCTGAGGTGATGGAACCTATATCATTTATTCCACTTAGCACGTCGGCTAAGCTCGCTTCATCATCTATTGCCGAAGTTAGAATTCGTCGGCTCAATATGACCAAGACCTATAGTCTGCTTTCATCAATGCCTTAGAACCGACGACCAAGTTCGTTCAAGTTTCTCAGTCGAAACCGTCCTCCTTTGCAACCGTCTCGGGGTGACACATCTCGGTACAAACTGATGATTTACCTCGGCAAGTACCCAAGTACCTTTTCTTGGCATAACCTTGGTTTCACCTTGTAAATTTTTTCATAAAATTTCAACAAGTGTTTAACATCGGCTTAACTTTAACTTGTAAATTGTCTACAAATTTCAACAAGTGTTAAGCAATGATTTCAGTTTAACTTCAACTTGTAAATTGCTACAAATTTCAACAAGTGTTAAACAATTATTTCGGTTTAACTTCAACTTGTAAATTGCTACAAATTTCAACAAGTGTTAAACAATAATCTCAGTTTAACTTCAACTTGTAAATTGCTACAAATTTCAACAAGTGTTAAACAATGATTTCGGTTTAACTTCAACTTGTAAATTGCTACAAATTTCAACAAGTATTAAACAATGATTTCGGCTTGCAAATTCCAACTCCCAAGCATCATTCTCCAGCCCTCTGCATGGCTTCCACCTATTCCTTTGTGGAAAAAAGTTTTTAACTTAGGCTGTGCTTTTCTCTTCTCGGACTTAATCATTTGGGCCGAGATCTTGCCTTCTAAAATCTGGGATCTGCTCACTTTAGACTAAGCTCTTCTTTTCTCGGACCTAATCATCTAGGCCGAGATCTTATCTTCTGGAATCTGCGATCTACTCACTTTAGACTGAGCTCTTCTCTTCTCAGACCTAATCATCTAGGCCGAGATCATGTCTTCTGGGATTCTCCATGCCCGACCTCCCGCGAAGGCTGATGAGAATGTCCTTTGGTCCCGCCATGCTGAGGGATTGTAAGAACCGTTTTCTGCCCCCCTTTCTGGGCACCTTTCTTCGGTACGCCACCCTCCTAGCCGATGTTCTTTCCTCCGTGATTCTTATCACGTGTTTCTTCGTTGCAGTTGTCTTCTTCGACGTCAAGGTCAATGTGTTTCTTGCTCCCAGTAGGGGTGTCGTCCCCAACCTTCTCTTTCTGTCCGTCGTTGGCCATCTATTCTCCTTTCTTTCCCACAGACGGCGCCAAATCGTGTGGGTGATTTTCCAACCACACTGCCAACTTAGTACCCAGCTGGAGAACACCGGCAGAATAGACTAAGCCCGAACGACCTGCAACAGAAAGAGAATATTCCGGCGGTGGCTTGTCCACTCGGGGGTACTCCGACGATCAAGTCAATACTCCATATCTCTCAAAGATAACCAATAGTGTTTAACTCACTAGACAGAATACCAAAAGCATACCTTAGACCCATGGGGGTGCCTCCCTTTTATAGCCAACATAATTCTAGTCACAATAGGAGCCTAGCTCTAATGGACTTAGGATTATTGCTAATCTTGGACTCCCAGTAGGATTAGGATAAACTCTCTAAGAGTCACATCTTTACCCAAACTAAAGTTTTCTCTCATTCTAGGACTCTTGTCCATTATCCGCTTATCTCGGATTCTGACATCTTCGCAGATAACCTCGGCTTAGCCGAGATCATCTCGGCATCATGACCATGACACATGGCACCTCGGCTGGCACTCCGGTGACACCTCGGCCACGTGTTGTCATTCAAAAATTATGTCCCCACAGAAACAAACAGAAAGGTGTTTCACTGTATAACTTAATCTCCATTCTTTGGTTTCCGATATAACAACTATTTCTTATAGCCAATCACATGTACATGTCTCAAAAGACACATACCCATCTGTGTGAAACATTTAGTAAAACTTTTGATAAAATTTTTGGAGTCTCTAACTTTTCGATTTTGTTTGGCAACTCGACAACATTATTTAATAGCTATCTCAAAGAAAGAAAAGCATGTAAAAATCATTTGAACTACCTGGGCAGATTTCAGAACCTCTCCAAAAGGTCTCATCATGCATTTTGTGTTGGGCTATGAAACATGGGTACTGGTAGTATTAGTACGATATGGATATATCGATACGGTAAATGTAAAAAATAAAAAATAAATAAGACACGGGTACAACTTGGTACACTTGTAAAAAAAAATTATTTTTAATTTAGAATAATACAAAAATCAATTAAATAGTTTAATCTATTAAGGTCCAACTTACAATTAACATTTAATGCCAAAAGTAAAGATATAAATCAAAATTCAATGTCAACATATTAAATAATTTACAAATCATAGTTTAATTTTAAAATCATGTTAAGCATAAAACCAAAAAAACAAAAAAGTCTAGTGAAATGAGTTTTGTCTCTGTAATAGAAGAAAATATTGTTTCAACTGAAATACGATACGGCTTGAGTATATACTAGGTACGTCTAGGTACTCCAAAAATTAAGAAGAAAAAATTTAAGTACGTATTTTGTGTACCCGTAGTTGTCAAATCAAAATTCGAATCGTGAATCGAATCGAATCATGAATCGTAAAGATTCAGTCACTTTTTCTAAATTACTTAAAAAATATAACTACACATTTGGATGTTAAATATATCCTATGAATATGAAATATTTAGATTTAAATCAACGAAAATGTTGTTTTGAATGATGATCACATAATTTAATAGGTAAGAAGTAAATAAAGGTTCCTATGTAAGATCACCATCTTACCTTCCCTTTTTTAGATATTTCTTATCAACCATTCTTAATAAAAACATTAAATAAAGATAAACCCTTAATTTCCAAAGTAACAATAATTTAACAACAATATTGATATTTGGACAATAAGCATACATATTTTTCAGAGTAACAATGACCAAATAATAAGAAAAAATTACTT